TTACGTATCTAAAATAGGTGCTGAATCATTCCTTTTGCACATACTTGGTGTTGTTTTGATAGATCGAGAATAAGTTCTCGATCACTCCCTTTATCAAAATAAGTTAGTGCTAAATACTATCCCTCTTTACAACCCTCCCACTTGATTATCTGCAATTACGCACATAGCTAAAGTTAAGCTTTCCTGTAGGTTTCCCCTGTAGCGCATTCTATGAGCTAGGTTATTTGATCGCAAAGCTTTCATCGTTTTTATTGACAAACATCATCTGAACCAACTCCAATAAGAAGTAACATACTAGGATTTCTACACGAATGACTCGATAGTCTAATCTGACGAAGTGGTATCTTTTTGCTGTGTTGTTGAGTGTATAGACTTTCCAACTGACTGTTCCTCCAACTTACTTCCAAGATTTCACTTGTTTATCATTTGTCTTGTTGTTTGATAGACTGGGTCATCCTATATACATCTGTTGACTGCTCACTGATCTCAATACCAAGCTTCCAGGAATTCTATGGTATTATATTTGTGTTTCTTCTCTACAGTATGTCAAGACTTCCAAAATTGAATTCATAACCATAGCTGTTCATATATACTGATACAGCAAACGAAATACCATGACGTTTGATTGTCAACTGATGTTCATGTAGACAGAGATAGAAAAGGTGACCACCTCATGAAATGTGGTGCTGATTGGAGTTGTTGCAGTTGATTTTGTGTAGGATATTTAGTTTATCTATTCCGGCTGTTGTGTTCTATGGTCAACATAATAACACATGAAATGAATTCGTTCGCTTATGAGTCATAGCAATGCCAAATGATATCAGTATTTTTTCATCACCTTTGGTATGTTGTTTATGCATAGTAAGATTATCAATTTGCTGATTTACGTGCTTATGATGATTAACTGAATGAGCATCTTTTGAAATTGCATGGGTAGCTGTTCCTGAATATTAAGTAATTTTCTCCTGTTCTCTATAAAGTGGTTGTACCACAGCGTATCTTTGCTCTTGCCAAGAAAGTCTATTCACTATTAGTTTTGTAGATTATTGAGTTATTGTTACCATAATTGGGAATTTGATCAATATGTGCCAGCTTCCTACACATCTGCGTCTCTAATTTTCCTACATTACCTCTATGGATAAAACATCTCCATTTGTGTATCTGATGTCATTGAAGATGTTCGTAATGAAGTTACAAAAAACAATGTAAGCTTCACAATTAAACCATTCAGTTCAGAGAACGAAACAGCTACAAATATTCTCCATCATTTTAGAATACAATCAAACCTTATTATTCTTGATTCAGCAGCCTTTCTTTGACTGAACAGCCGAATGGAACCGGGTCAACTATTTTAATCTATATATTTCACCTCACAGTTATTGCAAGTGTTTCAGTGAAGCAAATAATTTTACCTAGCTGACTCTAGTTCACGAAGCACTCTGTTCTACATAGTAAATAATACTTTTCCCCTAAATGATAAATCTTACAGACGAACTTAAATGTTACAAACTCATCTTACGAACAAGGATGATATGCTAAATATTTGGTGAGTAAAGTATCCAGTATAAGCCTTTTAAAGGCCTGGCATGAAAAAAAGAGTAGTATTTGAAAACACCACAATGAAATAAATTGCATTACTGTGCAGCAATCATCCAATCTAACTTACAGCCCACCATTCTACAACCACAATGCGTTGTTAAGTCTTCAAAACCAGTGTAATCATTCATTCATGTCGTAAATCTATCATATAAAGTTCAACTTAGTCTTACCATTGAAAACTGTCCACTTAAACTACATGTAGGTTATTTTTGTTCATCCATCAGGATAAAGGATGAACATCAATCATGAAACTGTCTACAGTGACTCTTTGATAATTTATTTTAACTATAAAGAAATGAACAAATAAATATTTCCGTAGATTTATTTAAGAAATATTCTCAGGAAATTTTTCATTTTATTAACATTCTAGTTACGAATATAGATGCGTATTGATGACAGTATCCAGAATTTACACAAATTGATTCGTATAGAAATCTGTTATGTAATGCTGACCGATGTAGCTATTGAATTCAATATGCTTAACGAAGGGAATCGATTAGGTGTTCAGTTTGGTCACTGGTGTCAGATGTTTGAAGTTAGTCAGAAAGAAGAGACCTTGCTATTAAGTTCTATGCTTTTAGATACCAATCAGTGAGGTGGACTTGCAGCAGATAATAAATTGATTCTCCCTCAGATTATGACCAGTTACCACGATACCAAACCCAAGACGTCTTATCAACTAAATCTTACCTACTAGAATATTAGGCTATTTTCTACCTCTAACTAGCAATACTGTCCAGTAATTATTTGCAGTACATAGGCATCAAGGCTGGCTTCAGGAAAAACAAATCATGTGCGGATCAAATTGCAACACTACGCTATGCATCATCATAGAACAGAGCATAGAATGGCAGTCAACCCATTACCCTAACTTAATGGATTTTTAAAAGGCCTACAACAGTGTTAACCGGAGACTATTTTAGAAGCTGCTGCATTGACACTACAGTTTTAGTGCCACGGAAGACGGGACATCCTTCAGGTGAACGTAGAGAAGACAGAGGTGATGAAAATACCCAACCAACAACAACAACAAGCACCAATCACCATCAACGGGAAAAATCTAAAGCAAGTAGTCTCTTTCACCTACCTCGGCAGGCAGCATCGTTTCAACTAAAGACGGTGGCACAGACAACGATGTGGAAGCAACCAGGACCAGAAAAGCAAGACAGGCCTTCATTGATCTAAAATCAGTGTGGAGATCTACTGCATTGCATTGCACCTCACTCAGCATAAGGTGTGAACAACATCTGGATTTTCAACACTAATGTCAGTCAAGTCAGTGCTTCTATATGATGGTTGAGAGACTTGGCGTCTTACGAAAAACATTTCCAACAAACTACAGACATACATCACGTCAACAGCTCCTGTCTACTTTCACTCGATACTGACATCGAAGATCAGATCAGATGGCCAGAATAATAAGAATAAGCAACAAGGACGTTTGGCTGGCAACCAACCAACCAACCAACCAAGAACTCATCACCGAACAAATATGTAGAAGAATGTGGAGATGGATTGTATCGGCCAAACACTTAGAAGATCGTTTGGGGACATCACATGTGAGGGCAGGTCAGGCCATCGAGTGGAACCGAGATTGTAAACGATGAGTTGGGCGTCCGAGGGTAACACGGTAGAGATCATGTGAGGAAGAAATGAAAGCTTGTGGACAATAGTGGAGTCAAGTTGAAAAGATTGCAGAGAGCGAGAGTGAAATGGTGAAGTGCTGGCGAATCCCCAAATGCCGCTGGGAACCCAAAAGACAAATCAATAGTAAACATGTTCACCAAACTGATACGAATTCTTCAGTTTGTTAGAATCAACTCCAGTAACTCAAAACTACGATCTTCACTGAGATCATAGGCATTATATAATTAACAACAACCTCGTTTATTCAAAATAAAGGTCTTGTTACTCTCTTACAGACTGTAAAGCCCAGTCCTAAACTTTTCACCTTCTTTGACTACATCATTTATTTAATCTGACTCTTTTTAACAGGCACATTTATTGATAACAAAATAAGCTTATCTTAGTGTATATTAGTAACTTCAGTTTTAACAATCAAAAAAATGATCTCTATTCACAAACCTTTTCACAGAGTCCTTTAGTTAGAAGGCCAAAACGTTGTTTCCTAAGACTTATCAATTATTATTTTGGATGAATGGCATATTAAGATGCCGCCTTTATATGAATTTCTAACTATCTCTCGTTTTTCAAAAATTTTCACCAAGTTGTGCTTATACTTGTCAGCCTTTTGAATTGTATTCAGCTAGAAATTAGAATATTTCATATTTTTCTTAGTGCTAAGAGTGAAATATAGTGCATGTTCCTGTTTAAAATAGTCTTATTAAGCACTTGTTGATTATTTTTGCTGAAAAAATATTTACCTCTTGTTTACCTACGACTTAGAAGTTTGACAACTTCAACAGATCCACCTTTGTATAAGGCTTTATAATTGATCCCACATGTCTATGACGAGCGAATTTCCTAAGGATTAAATACTTTTAGAGAACTTTCCATCACTGAGATTTTACCATTAATATTCATAATTATTCTGAGGAATGAAGAATCTTCATGCTCTACTGCTTATTCAGGCTAAATTCGAAAATCTTAATGTAACGAGTACAGCTCTACTTCTTTTTCTATTAATGTTTAGTATCCTTGAATTAGAGGATGAAATGGTCTGAGCAGCTTGATTTTGGTTTTTATCCTAATAATTGTATAATCTGTGTAATGTGGTTCGAAAAGTAATCATATTGATATAGATCTATTGCCCTGTTTATCGTCCCTGAAACTTTGAACTTTCTTCTGTTGTATTATCCTTGGTCTGATGCTTCTATATTCTATTCCTGAAAAAAGATAAGCCAATGTTATCCATCCAGTGGATAAGCTGACTTCAAATCGAAATCTGTGGAATAAGTGGCGTGTTAACAGTAAACTGCTATTCAACGAACAATAATCTCCAAATATGAATAATATCATAGTCAGGATTAACTGTAAAACCCACTCTATGAAATAATAAGTCAAAAGAAAGGTGCATTCTACGTAAAATCTACGTTTACAACTAGTATAACGAAGCCTTATTGATTACTTCAGCATTTGCTAGGGTGGGGTTTAAAGTCACTGCACTACAAACTATTAGCTTTTTAGAAATGTAACACTTATCGGTAGAGACAAACAACTGACCGTTCTAAAGGAATTAACTTCACTATTCATTGTTAAACGGTGACAAAAAGCTTCATCTGGGCCTAAAATAGTTTTCATTAAAAGTCAACATTCACTAAACAATAAGTGAATTTAATTCAATCCCTTACTATTACGTTTCTGTGATAAGTAACACTTTATTAAAACAAAATAAAACCATGTTTGTTACATAAGAGTTTAATAAAATTGTAACTACTTACATTGTTACTTCAGTTGGATTGATTCCTTCACTGGGAGGGAGACCAAGAAATGCTCCAATTTTTGAACGGCACAGATCAGAATTATTTTGAAGAAATTGAGAAATTTCTTTACTAGAAGATAATTTTATGAAATTATATTTTGACAAAAATTTGAGACCTCTCAAAGGATTTCTGTGGAAGAAAAAAAACATGAATGAAAATAAATAACTAAGGCTACTTAACTCAAATTCCTAAAGTGAATAAATAAAATATACAATAAATTATTTTGTATACTTATCTGATTCAATTAGTGGTTTGTAAGGATTGACTGATTTGACATCATTGCTCTCAGGTATTCAGTGTTTTCTTAACTGATGTCAAACTGTTGTGGAAGCTACCTCCAATCCCTAATATGAAATAATTTTAATTACAATTTTTCATTTTTTCACAGCGACTACGGTTAATAACCGACACTAAATATGATGGTGGATCGAAGCAAAACAACATGTTCGAGAAACTTATGGAAACATATTGGATATAACAGAAAAGAACAAATAAACAAGATATTTGATTATATTGGAGTGTATGAAGCAGTTATGAAACAAGCTGTTGAGTCTCTAGTACAGAAATAATGCCTGACTGTGACGTACTAGGAATAAAGACTACAACAATAGTTAAGGTAATAAAAAATAAGAATAGTTTAAGTGAATATGTGAACTACTTTTAAGAATGGATAAGGCTACTTAGAGTGGTAGCATAGAGAAACCAACTTAAATGCTATACGATAGCAATCCATGGACGATGAACTGATCGATCGCCTTCCCTGAATGCATTTAAAGAGACGAAAGAGAAGTCTGTTTAGTAAGAACCTAAATGGAATAGTTTAGGTAGTAGAATTTAAGAAAAAGCATGGGTTGCACACATTATATTATATCCAGATATCTCAGAACTGAGACGGATGAACTAATCCATACATAGGCTGAATCCCATATTGACTGAAGTCTCATTGTACTGGTGGTTGACTGTATAACTGTTATTGGTCTTGTAGTGCACCTTCTTTGCTCCAAAAATACTCTTAGGTTTAAAACAAATAGATAAACACTTGAAATATCGAAGTAATAACTGAATAATCTTCTATGGCGTCGGCAAGTGACCTTAGTTCTGTGGGCTTGTTTATGCTTGCATGCATCCACCCGTCAACATTCACCATTTTTGCGTCCACTTCGTGCTGACTAGCTGCAACACACTCAGAGTATCTACCCCAGTCATTAAGAGACAGATAAGTATAATTTGTTTTGAGGTTAATGGGGATTTCTAATTTAGAGGTAGCATTCATCAAGGACTGATACCACTTGAAGAAACATTGAAAACATGGACAGACGTTTCGTCCCAGCACAGAACTCCTCAGAAGTGCACACCTACGACCCGACTAGGGATCGAACTCAGGATCTTCAAGTTTCATGGCGAACGCGTTAACCATTCATTCACTGGGTCTGAGTTCAGTGGTCCACAGTCCCCAGCTTCTGTCAGTTCGTGATATAGTGCAACTATCACTCGAGGTCTCCAGCCGGCAACTGCTTCTCTTCCGACTGGTTGATCCCACAGGTAACGGCTTCTCATTAGAACTTCGAGATATCCAGTTAGATGTATGTTACTAATGAGCACTAGACAGTAACGTATCTTTAGGTTAGTAGGGATTTTAATTTTGATGTACTATTAAGTTCTGGATGAATATACCCAAGTTAAAATAAGAAGCCATGACCTGTGTGGTCAACGGATGCCAAAAAATGACCCTACGTAACAGTCGCGCTGTATCACGAGTTGACACAAGTTGGAAACTGTGAACGCGTTTGAGCCGTAGCTATGTGATGGGTGCGTACTGCTGAGGAGTTCTATACTGGAACAAAACAGCTGTCTAGTGTTAATAGGTTTCCAGTGGTTCTCCTACTAATTTCAGTTTGTGAGGAATAGCATCTAATGGTAGGTTTAACTTTCTTTTTCTCAAATAACGTTTCCACCTCAGACTAATAAATAAGCTACTCTTCTGAGCACTTTCGATCACCTAAGTGTTTTCTTATTTGTATTTTGTTGTCAGAACTTACATGTAGGTAAGGTACTAGTTATTTCGGCACTGACACATACTAATTCACGTAAAACTGGTCAATTGTTAGATAAGAGTAACACAACCAACCTCTTACAAAGTTAACAAAAGATGAGAACCAATAAATTTAGGTTCACACTAGGATTAGATCGAAATATTGTTTTAATTGATGTGAATGATGTCAACAACTTTAATAAAGATTTAAAAGGAGAGATTGGCGGAAGAAAACAATTTGAAACAAGCGATTAAAAAAGACATGGAGTGATAAAATGCCCGAAATGATGATTACAGTCGAAAAAATCTAACCTTCTGAGATTACTTTTGAAGAGGATTGTTTACAATTCTTAATTACTCAAGACTTAAATGAATTACACAAACAGTTGGAAACTTCATGGATTATTGACTAGTTCTCTCTAATGCTTAACCCAACTTTGGCTAACCTACCTCAGTTAACAAAATTCTCATTTTCTTGTCTAATCTGCCAGGTATAAGTCTGTTACATCTAGAATTCCCTTTTTGATTAAAATATGACTAATAGCTTAGCTTATGACCTATATAAAATTGAAAGTATTACTAATTTATTTACTCACCTGTTAAACAAATTTACACCAACAGCATAAATATGCCTACGACAATTGTAACAATGATCAGATTTGTACAAGTGTATTGTAGTTTTGAGAAAATAATCATGTTTTAAAAAATACCATGTATTATTTTCATTTGAACATATCACTTTATTAAATGGAAAACTGCTAGGCTGTGATAAATAAAATTGCCAGTTAAGTGTACATAATGTACAAGTATCCTCTGTAATAGAATTGTCAAGAAGTGAACAATGGTTTACATTATGCTGTTTATCATTTTCTACAAGGTTTTCATGATGAAAATCAATTATTAAGTTTTCTTGTCTTTTGTTTCCCTCCTCATTTTCTATTCTAATAGGTGGTGATGAAGTAACCACTGGTAGCTTTTCAGTTAGTAAAGGTTTCAATTCCATTGTTGAACTGTTTAATTTCCGTTTCCATATAGGTGATAAAGAAGAGTCAATATTCTGTTCATCAAGCTGTTTGTGGTGTTGATTGTCTTTTAACTGAAAGAAAAAAGAATGAAATTTTGATGCTAATAAGTTATATTTATTTTTCGTTACATTGAACAATGAGATAATGAGTGCTCATGAAATTATTCTTTCTACTTTATCATCATCTCATTCATCCAGTGACATACAGAAATGCTCACATCTAAACGTCAGCGATCTAGCTAACATAACTAGACAGTTTAAGCTAGCTTCTAACATTTTATTCAGCCTTCTTTTACGCTGTATATAGAATAATGGGTATTTAGTATTCAAATAATTTCTTCAACTACCTAACATACAAAATAAAATACTCAAAATAGTAGGAGTTTGAATACATACAAAGGTAGGAATAAGCATTACATTTCAACGTATCTCAAAAGGAGATAGCAAACCCATCCCCTATCTACTCAAATAAGATTACACATATTGAAGGCCGATTTAATTTCCAGTTTTCGTTGCACTAAATCACTTATTATTTCATTCGATATATATTAATAAATGACGTGAGTTAGGTAAAGGAAGTCCAGAGACTAAACGGTCACTTCGTTCTTTTGAGCAGTCGATATTGATTTTTGGACAATACCAATGGTTAGATTCGGTGTTTCACTTTGTAACACTTATAGGAATGATAAGTTAGTTAGATGGTAATATAGTTTATTAGACATAGCACATAGTTGCTCTCAAACCATTGATATTTCGTATACAGTTTGTTGCTCATAATTATATCAACAAAATTACGCGATATCTTTGGATTGACTTTCAAAGTCCAAGAGCCTCTTGTGTTCTGGTTTCATCAGAAGTGAAATATCTTAGATTTACTTAATAGAGATTGGATCATTCCTAATACACAGACATATCAGTAACAAGAACGGTTGAATAACTACTGAATTGTAATAAATGCAAATATCAAGCGTGTAGTTTGTAGATAATTAGATTTATTCGTTCATTCGAATTATTCAGTCCCACTTAGCTATTCGGAATAGCTTCGCTCTGTGAGCTGCATTTGTTAAATATACAAATCATGATTTATTCAATAGATAAGTGGAACACCCATTCAGAGTTTGGATCGCGTCGATTCGGTTGGCGTAGCCCATAGATTAACGTGAGAGGTATCTTACTTCACGTACTGATCAGTAGTACATTTTTCTAATAATAGCTTACCTATCTCCTAAGAAAACTCATCTTGTAATGATTTACATCTCTAAATATAGTTGGATTTTTAAGCATCAAATATTTTGATTAATTTACTTGACCTCATGATCACTTCACGATCCTGTTGGGGATTAACTTAATGAACTGGGTCAATGAAACCCTTAGGCCAAAAACTTTACTTTTGAGTCAAGTTAAAGATTTTACTTTCATCATCATCTAAGCATTATTAGGAAAAGAAGCGATGAGTCAGCAAAGGAAATTTTCTTTTTCGTCTATATCACTTTCTACGATCGTACGATTGTACTTAAATATATCACAAACGTATAACAGTCTATTATAAATTAACATAATATAACTGCATCACTAGGCTAGTACTAGAAACCGAAATCAAGAGTCGAAAGTAGTTGTGTGATAATCTTCTAGACAGTGGAAATAATGAGTAAGGCAAGGAGTTTGACGGGGTGAAAATTTTTGGTAGATGTAAAATGTGAATACTGAGTATTCGCTTGATGGATACAAAGAAGGTGGAGAGGGAAATAAGAGTTATAATGAAGGTGAAAATAGTAAGCTAACGAATTATAATGAAATCGTCCGAACCATCGTTCTTTGAAACGTCACACACTTAATATTATCGGTTTAATTAAATTCCAATTACCTAAATTGGAGCTTAATCTCGCACTGAGATCTCATTCACTATTCGGTCTGTCCAAAGACAAGTGCCTTAATTTCACAGACCACATCATGACGGTAACAAGAACCCAATCAGAAGACCCTAATGAGATATCTTCAACCGTCTGAGATATTTCTCGTTTTCTAGAGGCACCGTAGAAATACATATTCAATTACTCATAGGTATCTTTGACTCCCGTTCAAATTCAGATTTTATCTCTAGGTCCAAACTTTTGTGATATTCCAGCAGCCGCCAATGATTTAGACATATAAGTTCAATTTAAAAATCTGGTCAACCAAACAGATGATCACCTACCACTTTCAAACAAGAGATTCAAACTGTACGAATCAACTGTCATAATTTGCTGTCATCGATATCTTAAAACGAAACCCAGTTGGAAACAATCGTTAACGAAGGAGTATAAAAAGCGACTGCGTGAATTCGTGAAAAATAAAAATTTGCGCTAGTTCATCCTGATAAAGCTGCTTGTATTGTTCTCATGGATCACCCGTACTATAACACTAACCTACTCTCTATCTTATTAGATAAGAGTAAATTTTTCAAAGAGTCTGATCAAAATGATTCTACTGAGCAAACTGAATGAAAGCTCACTCAGATTCTGAAGAAAATGAAGGATGAGTCTATCATCAACGCCGAAATATTTAATAGATTGTGGCCATATGGTTTTGTAAATCTTCGCCTATAAAATCTCCTTAAAGTACACACAGATCTTTCCCTATATCTAATCTCGGACATGAACAATTCACCATATCACACTATCACCAAGTGGTTGTCGGACGTCCCTCGATCAGTTAGAAAACAGCTAACTACGCACAGTATATTGGATTTTTTCGACCTTGTTGACTCAATAACTAACTTCAGTGTATCCGGTAGGCGAATGATTTCTGCTGATGTGATTTCTCGGTACACTAATGTCCCTCCCACGAAAACTTCCAGTTTTTATGTGATTTCGTCGAAGATGATAGTTTTCACGTGGGTATTCCAAGGCATTGTTCATAAAAATTACTTCTAAGATATACTTTCAATGTGCAGTTCAAATTCAAAAACTAGTTGTACAGACAAAAGGATGGGGTCCCTATGGGGTTACCACCTGGACCACTGCTCCCTGTTTGCTTTATGACAAACCTAGAGAACAGTGAGCCCCAATCAACAGTTAATAGCTTTTCCTTATGTAAAAGGTATTTGGATGACACTCATCACATGTGATCGAAATACAAATAATGGGACTGTAGTTAAAAAGTCTATCGACTGTCATCCGTTGATCAACCTCACATCAGAATCCGAAAAGAACTCAGAATCCCATTTTCCCGATGTCTTTTTGAGACAGAGACTAGATGGAGCTCTTCAGAGATCGATTTATAGGAAGCCTTTATGGAGTGGACAATACTTCGATTTTCATAGCTGGATGCCTCTAAGTATAAAAAGGAATCTGAGTCATTCTTTGTCATCAAGAATCCTAAGAATCCGCACGAGTGACGATGAATTAGACAAAGTATGGAAAATTCTCATACAAGATGGAAACCTATCCAAATATAATAAGAACTTGAAATGAAAGCCGAATACGCAGCAAGTTCTCACAGTTCCAAAGAAGACCTTGTTTACGAACATTGGCTTCAAAGGCAATATGGTAGCAGAGATCTTGACGAATCAACTGTCTGAATCGCTGAAGAACATATTGTTTTTTGCCAAGCTGGGAACCAGCTTCTCTAGTTAGAAACTGGCTCCTGGGTGAATCAGGAACAAGTTGCCACTTTGGGTGACCTCACTATGTCCCTACAAATTTACCTGCTCCTGTGGAGCTAGACCACACAAAGTGCACACTTTCTAAACATATCTCTGAGTACTATCCTACATGGTTGTCGAGAGGAGAATGTAAATCAATTAGCAGTTCAGTTCTTGAACTTTTGGCCAACTCTGAACATGTAGCTGACTCCACCAGAGTCCCTCTCTAGTGTCATCTACAGAATCAAAAGGAATAGTTCAAGCAGAGCACACCTTCAAAATTTGTGCACAGTAAAGGCACTGGCAATTCATTGATTAAAGCCTGCGTTCGAAAGAAGTATGTTGAATCTCATATCTTAACCAAGATCTTAACACTTTAAAAGTTTTTCGACATTATAATTAGTTAGTTTACTATTTTCACCCTCATTACGACTTTTGTTTCTTTCTTCACCTTCTTTATATATATATATATATATATCAAATGAACACAACATTTGCATTTCCCATCTAGCAACAATTTTCATCCCGTTAAACTCCTTTCCTTTCTCATTATTTTCATAGTCTAAAAGATTATTACGCAACTACTTTCTATTCTAAGGAACTCTGGCAACGAACCGACCAAGAACCTATCACCCACCAAATAAGCTGAGGAAGGAAGTGGAGATGGATTGGGCATATACTGAGAAGACCGACTGGGGACATCACGTGCCTGGCCAGTTGCTCGAGTGGAACCCAGATAGGAGGCAACGAGTTGGGCGTCGGTGCCAAGGGTGACATGGAGGAGATCGTGCGAGGAGGAAGTGAGAGCTTCTGGGCTGTCGTGGAGCCAGGTTCCAAAGACTTCAGAGAACAGAGTGCATTGGAGACGTGTTACTGAAGCCTTATGTTCGATTAGGAACCTAAGGGACAAATAATAATAATATATATATATATATAATACATCCTATTCTCATTTTCGGTTCTTAACACTGCGGCTCAGTGATTTGAGAAGACGATTAACAACCATCTGGTCCCGGGTTCGAGCTCTGCTCCACCTACCGTGGCTGTGTCAGCCGGCCACTATCACTAGCCTTCAAACAATAGGTGTAGCTCATCGCCAACTGTATGGATGTGGACAAGGTGGCTGGATGCGTTTCTTTTATACTTTAGCACTGGCTTTATGATGTAATTATATTTTATTGTTTAATAATAGACTTATACGTTTGTGATATATATGAATAAGATTGTAAAGCTTTGGAAAATGATATCTCTGAAAAAGAAAATCTTCTGCGTAGAATCACTTCCATCTTTCTCTATGACTCGATGGGTACGTTTCATCATCATTGTTAAAAAATTTATTTTCACTTACACTGTAACACCGAGGGCATAGAATTCCCGCCAAGTCACTTTGCAAATGCTACGTCTACTTTCATAATGAGTTCTTATGAAAATTTAAATAATTTATGGAATATATCTCTTAAGGATTGACTAAGATTAAATGAAGCAACCTAGTTAAAATATCAGTTAGAGTGAGGTTAGCTGTGGATACTGATATCCTCTGTTTTGTCTTTATTTTGTTTTGTAGCACTATATACTTCATGGTTATGTTTCACTTTCTTAAAGATAAGCAGTATCATGGTGTACAACATTTCGACAATGCATGTGTCTGTGCGTGTATGTACAAAGTCTGTAAACAAGCTCAAACTTTAATTACGTAACTTACCACTAATATATATATATATATATATATATATATATATATCATATTTTGACTGAAGACTAAGAATTCTTACAGTTAGACATTCTCAGTCAACTACAAATATATCTGCCATGATCAACATTATTGGTGGGGTTAACCAGCTTACTGAAAACTAAATCCTTGTTTATCGGATTAATTTTCAATATATACGATTGAAATGATTCTATACCAATTCTACGCGGCATTGGAAACCTTACTGTCATTAAATTTATCTTGAATAGGAGGTAATAATCATACCAAAAAAGTTGTACAGGGTTGTGTAATCACCTTGAAATAATTATGGGCAATTTAGTTTGTCTAAAGCCCCACCAAGCAAATAAATATATAGTAACTGTCTTACGTCAGATAAACAACACTAGCATATAGTGAAAATCTATGGTATTATCCGATACCTAAGCCTAAGGAGGCAACTAATTAACTACTAAGCATTCTGCTAGCTTTTAGTTGGAGAGAATACAGACAGATAGATAGACAAAATCAACGCAGAACGACGAATACAAGTTCGTCACCACAAGGTACCATATTCCACAGTAGTACACAAAGAACAAGAGTAAAAAAAAGAGTGATATCAAAGAAGATAAAATTGCATGACAGAATAAGCAATCTGAAGATAACGGTTAGTGCAAATATTCGTGCTTTAGATGTCAAGGAGTGAAAGCATCTGTACCATTGTGACCAATTTTTAGTCATGTCTCCAAGAGTCCTCAACCACTGATTCCTTTTGTCTCGCGAACCTCAATCAGGAAGTCTATATCTGCCTACATGGCTCAGAACCGTCAGTCAGGAACTTCATCAACCGCTGCCAAGTCATCTTGAACCTTCTTCCAAAGTAATCCAACTACTCTCGGCATGGTATATTGATGTAGGCGGTGGCTCGACATGCACATTACATGTCCAAAACATCTCAGTTGACTAAGGTTCACAATCTCATCAATCGACATGCCTGTTTTGCTTAGTAACCATCACCTGACCTAAACATAGTTAACATAGTGAATCCAACAAACACAAGCAGTGCCACAAAGATACAAGTGATCAAAACCTGTATCTGCTTCATACGTTTTACTCTTCACGGCCATGTCTTAGCCGTATGACAAGACAAAATGGACAGCAGTGCAGTACACTCGTTCTTTGATAGATAGTCGGATATCTCACCAGTCGTTGACACAGATGACTCAAGGTGATAAATGCCAAACTGGTCGTCTGTGTCCGAGCTGAGATTTCGTCAGCAACCAGCCCGTTTGTGCTGACTTAACTCCCCAAGTAAACGAAAAGGTTGATGCATTCCACCACTCTATTCCTTATTGTTAAACTGGGAGTACTTGCAACAGACCAGTCATGGAACATCATACGTTTGACAGGTCCTAAACGCATGTCAAACATATACAGGTTTCTACTCAACAAGACAGCGTCTTCACCTAGCAGGACAACATCGTTTGCATACTCAAAGTCAAACAGGTGACATTCAGGGAGTAGATCAATCACCGTGATGAAGTTAGATGGACCTAAGTTAATAACAACTAGCACGTTTGTAAAAAAGTAAAACAGGAACGGCGACAATGGACATCCTTGGCGGACACCACTAGCTGTCGTCAATTCGTATGACAGTCCATAAGCCATCACACGGCTGCATGAGTTTGAGTAGACAGCTTTGATAAGCGTCATATAACTGATCGGTATTTCCTTTCCAGTCAGACACTCCCACAACACCTCACAGTTGGTTAGGTCAAATGCCACTTTCAGGTCAAGAAATATTGTGTCGACCTCTGGTTGGTAGGTATACCCGTGTTCCAGGACCTGTTGGAGGGTGAAAACGTGATCGATGCAGCATCGTCTAGGTCTGAAATCTGGAGAGAATAACTCAAACATGCCTCAGAAAACGAGAGAGAGGTACTGTAGTTTTATTTTGTAAGTAACTGCATATACAAAACACTAATAACAGCCATGTAAATGGCTGTATAAACCACTTGGTAGGGACAACAGATACACACAGATTCATAATATACCTAAGCGCTGTATTATAAACTAGTCGATAAAAAAAAAATCCAAACTGGATGTTTGCATTTCAGAGATCCAAAAGTAGCGTAGTTATCACAAAATCCGAAAGGATCAAAACAGTAAATTGCTAAGGTATTGTAAAGTAGACTATAAAAATTCCTTGCTGTTTCTTAGCGTTCAGTAGTTCTTCAGTTAAGCGTTGATCACTGAAACTACCGGTAGAAAAATATGAGATACTATTGAGAACCACCGCAGTCACTTACTAACTTGCATAAATACATATACTACTCTCATTATGAAACAGAAGTTATTTTGTTCTGCACATTTAAGCAAGCCGTCATGATAAGTGGATAATTCAGTATTCATTGAATTCTACCAAATCTGCCGGTAGTGAAAACTCACATCACATTCCAAACTGTCCTTTCTTCATGATACTAGGCATGTTATTACTGGATTACTATAAATATATCATATAAATTAGAGAAATGTATAATTTTGAATATGTTTATCATTAGTCGCTTACTTCTGAACATATTCTCTGTTCATTGTCATGGTAGTGCAGTCGAATAGTTGTACCATTTACTTTATTTACAGAAGCTCGATTACTTGGATTTATAGGGCATGTACATCTTGATAAGTCATTTCCACACGATACTGGGATTGTAATATTCGAAAAATCTGTGAAATAAATTTTTATGCATAAACAAGAATTACTTTGATAAAACAAACTGTACTCAAATGTGTACAATACAAAAGGCTTAAGTTTTGAACATGTGCAATATAGGCTGTTGTTTGGAATTGGTGAGCAGTGAGTAATATTCAGTATTGTGTTGGTTACTGTCTAGTGAACAGTAAATGTACTTACAAAAATTTCCCAGTTTTTTAATCTTTACAATAATTTGTAGCCAAAATTAGCTGATATTATAGAGTATCTACTTTTCTTATAATAATATTACATAGTGAAGTAGTTTTAGTATTACGCTACAAATAAATCAGATATATGGACACTTTCATAAACTTATTTGAGTCAATAACAAGGCGAAATGTGGTAAAACTGCTCCAGAAACTGTTAGCTTCAATAAATCCTAAGGTCACTAGATCCCTAAAATTACTTTCTGTTTTGAGGTAGTATCCATCATGGACTTATATCAGTTGGAGAATCACTGAAACCTAGGAAATTACAGAGCTGTTTCGTCCTGGTGAGAGACTCCTCAGCAGTAGGTATCCAGTGGCTGAATGGTTAATGCCGAGTTATGGGCGTGTACTACTAAGGAGTCCTATGCTGGTAAGAAACAGATTTCCGGTGCTCCCAGGTTTTCAGTGGTTCTCTATGATGAATACTACTTTAAAATTAAAATCCCCACTAACTTGAAAATACATTAATTTCTATTTGTCTAAAGACGTATCAAAATCGGAACGCTAATAACCCCAATGATTGGAAAAGCCTTATGACTATTCACATAAGAAAGAATGCTATGATAGGGATAAAAAATATAAATAAGTCAAATTTTCTTTTAAAATATGAGAAAGTAATATATCTTACCTCTTTTGTTACGATGCACAAGTGCAGTCATGGCCTGTGACTGAGGAGCATGAGCCGGTATTGGTGGAGGTGTAGGAGACAGACTCAGTTGATATTTATGAATCAAGCCTTTAGGTTGAAAATGAGCAGAATTAGGAGAATAATTTATTGAATTGCTTGAATGAGAACTCAAACCAGAATCTCTAGCTGATGCACTTGCCTGTCCAAATTGTAAAGTATTTAAACAGTGGCTATTAAATTCATTCGATAAAACTATGGGGTATTTATCAGATTGTATACATTTTATTTCATCTACAATCACAGCTCCATCAGACAAGCTACTAGTACCACTACTATTGCTCATTTCTAGATCACATTCAAGATGGATTGCAGGAAGAGATTTCCTTGAGGTGGAAAAAGATTTTTTTGAGTTGGAAAATTGTGATACAGCATTAAGATCACTATGAACTGTTAAGTTTTTATTATTGTTATTATCATTATTATTTTCATTCAGTACAACAGAATATAAATTTTGCGTATTAAAACGATTCACATTGATAAGAGCCATTGCAGGAGGAACTGAGTCAGAATCTTCACTGCAACAAAATGAAGAGCATGACTTTCGAAATGGCTTTCTCCGCTTACAATCTTCTTCCTAAAAGAGAAACAAAATAATTATTGAATTTTTTTACATCAACTTTTGAATAAACAGAAAAGAGATCATAACTTTACAGTATGGACTGATAGTAAGACAATTTAAAAGAAGTTCCACGTGTTAAGCAAGGCAACAGTTATGCTTATTAATTAGTACAGTTTACATTCAACACTAATGTCAAGTCATTGCTTCTATATGGTTCAGAAATTTGGCACGTTACGAAAAGCATTTCCAACAGACATACATCATCAACAGCTGCCGCCTACGCTCACTCGATACTGAAGATCAGATGACCAGAATAATAAAGATAAGCAACAAGGAACTCACTCCCGTAACGAACCAACCAAGAACCTATCACTCAACAAATACGTTGAAGAAAGTGGAGATGGATTGGGCATACGCTGAGAAGACTATTTGGGGACATCACGCGCCAGGCCAGGCCGTCGAGTGGAATGCAAAGGGGAAATGAGGAGTTGGGTGTCCCAGGGTAACATGGAGGAGATTGTGTGAGAAAGAAGTGAAAGTTTGTGGGCAGTCGTGGTGTTAGGTTGAAAAGACTGCAGAGAGTGAGAGTGAAGTGGCGACGTGCTAGTGAAGCCCACTGTTCCACTACGAACCCTAGGGACAAATAATAATACACTCAATACAATTTGAATCAAGTAAAATGTGGATTAACCGCTGGGTTTTTAGTAGTTAAAAAAACACTGGAGGACGCGAGTCTGAATCTCAGACGAGACTGTAGATACGCCTTGCTGACAAGTATTAATAAGCACGAAACGTAGGTCCAGAGCTTCCTCCCGAATTATTTCACCCAACTAACATCCAGCTAACACCCTCCGGTAGGAAAACATCAGACTAGTTACTCAGAAGCTGATTATTCAAATTTAGTCATGAACATGGTTATTTTTTCCCAGCACTAATTATCTTACCGATGCGCTAAGAACAATTATTCAAAACAAAACCTACTTTAAAAGTTAAATATAATAAAATACGCTTTAAGCACATCAACTACCGATTGTTTTCACTTCTGCTCAAGATGATTCAAAAAGGCATTGAATATTTTAGTATGAATCCTAAAGGATAACAAAATAGTCCCAACGATATTCCCTTTTTAGAGCTAATACATATGGCCTTATATACAATCATATGCATAGTAAAACACAGTGGTTAGTTTCTTTCAATCAGTTATTGATCCACATGAGAAAAATTGTCAGATGCAGTAATTTACGCAGTTATAAGTATATCATAATGACAAAGTTTACCAACAAGTTAGCAAAACAACTCAACAAAAACAGCAACACAGATTGTGTGTTTTGAGTTGAATCAAGCAGCATTACATGTTATGGCTTGCTGTTTCACTTAACTGACAGAAATAAACTCAAACTACACAGAATACGAAATTATCAATAAACAGTGATGTATAGGATCCAAGTAGGTCATTTATATGTGTGTGGTTTTGAATTTTTTGGTGTAAAGTAGATGAATCTAGATTGCATGGTATTTAGGCTGATTTCTTCGTGTTATATTTTAGTGGGCTGCATTGATGCTACTTCATGTGCAATTTGATGATTCTCGGGTGTAATGTACACTTTTTTTCGACTATTATAGCCTTCTATGAAGTGCATATAATAGATACTTAATTCAATGTAATATATAACTTCCTAAAAATTGTTCTGCGTATATAGAAAAACTCTTGTTACTGCCTCAGCTTTCATTTTAATACTTTTCAAACAACCTTAGAAACTCCTGAAGGGAACAGTTTTACAGTTGTTGTGACTGTTTCTAAACGAAACTAAATGTTCAACAATAACAAAATTAACCTATAACAATTTTCACTTGGTTAAGGTTAGACTTAAGTTGCTATCCAACCTGTACAAATAAAACAAACACGAATCTCAACATATTCGAAAAACTCAAAAAAAAGTAGAAAATTTGGTTAGAAGGAAGGAAACGAAAAGTCTGTATGAATGATACACATTTCACAATCATTATGTATACTTTGGAAACCTTCTCAAGAGACTCAACGAAAAGGATACCACACTACTGGGTGTACTGATTCCTTCCTCATTCAATAAAATATTTTTCTCATTCTCAGCAAATTCCCGAATTCCTAATAGTGTTACAAACAACTTTTGTCATGTTTAACGTTTCTTGAACAGTCTCGCAATCTATTGTATCTTCTGTATAAATCGGTGGCACACTAAGTTATACAATATACGCATACATAAATCTAACATGAAAACTGCTGTTGTTCGACTGTTGGTGGACTTGATACAATACAATATTTGGTAAAACAACTGACTGAAAAACTAGGAGCTTCGTGAGCAGACTTTGAAGACGAGTTTAGACCATTCAGGTAAGTCAGTAAATCATCTAGAGGTGACAAGGTTTGACAGTCTGGTTAGCCTATATCATCATCAGACTTGTCACTACTAATTCAAGTCGCTATATATCTCATATCAGAACATGAAGATACAAGAAGAGAATAAATGTAATCAAAAGTCACAGGAAGGTATCAGAGAAGAGGGAGGAGGAAAAGTAAATACAGAAATATGTAATGACAATGCAGATGAAGATAGTTCTTAGATGCATCTGTATCGATTACAAGCCCTATCACTCAGAACCCTGAACCGCTAGTTTTAATTATCGTTCAAACCCCAATCTTGAAGTTCACAATTTGTTATGCAACCTAAAAGTGACTTATCTCTAAAAGTTACGTTAACCAAGTTAAAAATATAGAAAAAAAATCACAACTGCTTCACATCGTGTTATAAATTATGAAGTTAATGCATACTGGCTTTTTATTGTATAGAAATCCATTTAGCGTAAAATGAGATATTGAAACAGTTAAAAAAAATTATCTATCTCATTAACTAGATACTTTGATAGAATCACATGGAGCAACAGTATTTAGTGGGAAGGCTTTCAGTAACTACCGTCAAAGTTTGCACTGAAGATAATGATTAATGTATCACTGAAATATTCATCACCAATAGCGTTAAATCAGAATACACTTTCATTTGAAGCAAACAGAAAAGATGGGTTAGACATCCCACTAATATTGCAAACATTAATGACTCGCCTAGGCAGTTAAAAATAATATCTGAGGGGAAGGTAGATTGTCTAGTCCTATTACATACACCTTATTGATCTACTATTTTCATCAATCTTACACTACTCTCTGAGTCATATACATTCGATGAACCATAACATAATCCATTTTGTTATCACTCATACTTCAAGTGTTATCAAAAGTACATTTTTATGGTTATCATTATTTTAGTGTTATTGCTTGTACTGCACCGTCGTTGATAGGACAGAATTGATGAGCCTCTGTTGGCATATGGGCTCCTATGCGGATGCACTCGATATGGCCTATCTTTTAACTATGTTTAGTAATGATGGGCAGTGGAATCCAGGATGCGCATTTCGTCCTATTTGGGACTCGTCATTATTATTATTTATTTAAGATATATTGTCTCATCTTCAAATATTCATCCTTCCAAGCTAGTAATCTATTCCTTCTCACCCTTGATGTCACACAACCCCATTGTACTTTTCATAGACGAACTAAAAACATTTCCCCACCCTATTTTTGTTCCACAACAGAAAAACGTCTCTGACCGAGTTGCTTATTCACTCACCTGTATTGCATCGATCTTTGCTCCATATCACTATGTAATTGGATGGTTGTAAAGGTCACCACTTTGTGTGCCAAAACTTGAATATTAACCTGAAAACCTAGTGTCAGATTCATACTCTTGAAAAGGATCTTCCTAGCAAGATCGAAATGTTGAGGAATAATACAAAATATTTGTTTATTTTGTTATTTGTTCTAATATACTACGCCGGGATTACACAAGTAAAAATACATCCTATACAGTGAATCATACTAACTCGGTGCCCAAGTTTTTTTCAAACCATCCACTCCATTGTTGGCTAGAATACCTTCAAAAATATTTGATTATTTAAAGATCCTTATAGACTATTTAGAACAAGAATAATTTCAGTGAACAACTGTTTTCGATAACTTCTTCTTCAAGCTTTATAGTTATAAATCCATCAAAATAAGTGAAATACAATAGCCGAAATAAGGCATGATGTACAATTTTTACTATACTGAAATAATCAATGTTATGGGTGAATTGAGATCGAATCAAATGGAATGGTGGAATTGTTATCAGTCTAGTGTACTAGTTGTGCAATGAAACTAATATTGACAGAACAATTACGAAACAAGAAGACAAAATCTACAGATAATGATTCATTTACATACACTTATTGGGGCATGGGCATGTGTGTGTCTTTGTTTACTAAGGATCAAATAATAATAATAATAATGTAGTGATGAGTTATACATAGGTGGAATGAAAATCATGTGAATACCATAACGAAATAGAGAATAACAAATGTGAAGTATCACATCACGGTTGAAAATGACTACTGGTAGTGGTATGAATAAAGAAGGGTGTAAAACTAATAACATAAGAAAATGAATGTTCATAAAGAACGTATCGACCCTGTTATGGGCCAAGGTAAACAAAGTGGATGTACATATTTCTTTTGAACACATAGGTAGGGTTTTATTGCGTTGATCCCTATGGTTTCAGCTATGGATAAGATGCGAAGTCGCGCACTTTTAGGGAGATTTCATGGGTCATGGTATTTCTTTGAAAAAGCGTGATCCACCCTAATCTGATGTCCGGTATCTACTACATGTGAGAAGATTACACTGTTGAAGCTCTTTATCATTCCTTTTCGTAACCAATATGATGCATGTTTACAAGCGCGTGTGGATACAGCTCTATGAGTACGGCCTGTGTATTTCACTTATTCTCATAGATTTATAACTGTAGAGCCTGAAGAAAAAGTTACTGAAAACAATTATTCGCTCAAATTATTTTTGTTAAAAAATTTGGGTTTAAAAAATGATGATTAATAGAAGTCGGATTCTGTCGCACTAATTTAATCTACCGGAAATTATTTCTAAACATGTATCT